TTGCCATTTTTTTTCTCCGTTTCACAGATTTGGTTTTGATTTCGCTTGGCAGTGCTCTGGCGGATGTTAATACTTGGCAATATTAGGATAGTAAACATCAAAATCTCACGTATATTAATTTTTGCATTTTCACGTTACAGTTCTTCATTGATTAATTTTTAAATTGGTCCCAGAAAGCACTTAGAGAAATATTGCTATTTGCACTTTATTGGCATTACGTGGCACTATTTCTGTCTCCAGACCGGCAAAATATATTCTTAAATGTAAGCAAGTGCCATTGATATCAATGGAATTATTCATAATCTTAAAATTAAACATATGCTTAAGCATTTTAGTGAACTGAGACAGCTGGTCTCTTGTGGAAGGCCTATCTGAATAAACGCAGCGTCGATTGCAGATTGTGAATTTTATAACCCAGTGCACAACTGAACGTTGCTTTTGGTGAATACTTCAGCATTTGAGATAAATCTTTGCCTTTTGTTGAATATTCGTGACAGCGAAACTACGTGCCTGTTCAGAACAACCTGATGCAGTTTCGCGTTTAATCACGTTCATAAAAAAAAAAAAAAACCAAAACCAACCCATGTGCTTAAGTGAGCTCATGAATCGGGACCCGAGCGACTGCTCATAGAAAGTGAATTAAACCGAGTGGAGAACGGTCCTAATTGAAACCATGTTTTGAGCTGTAATGTGAAGGCACAGAAAAATTAATCCTTCCATTTTAGGAATTTTGATAGCAGCCATTACTAGAGAGTTGAAGCGATTTGAACCACTTTGTCAGACAAATGTGAACGGCTTGTTTCTCTTCTGAGAACAGCAGCGAGAATGTCTTCCTAAGTGGAACCAAACCGCGGGGGTTTGATAGAAACAGCCAAACAGATCATTTGATCTTTTTGATTCAAAATAATTATTTTATTTTTTTTTTTGGTCCAGTGGTTTATTTGGCTGCTTTTCTCCTTCCTGAGAAGCATCTTCTCCCGTCTCCTCTACGATCACTGGTCAAAACCGGCTCCGATTATGTGTGCAGCCACCGTGTGAGCTAATACGGACAGACATAGGCAGGGGACCTCAAGGCCCTGACTGCTGCACACGCTGGGGCAGATTATTCGCTGAAATATGACTTACAGCTAATCAGGACCTGATAGCTTTCATCTGTCCAGAACAGCCATCGATATCCGGAAAATCCTGGCATTTGTTTATGTCTCTATGGCTAATTTTGTCTTTTATGTTGTGGATAGCAAGGATGTAGGTAAAGGGGTGAAACACCACCCCCCCCGAAACATCTTTCGTAGCAGTTGTGAGGTGGGTGTAACAGAATTGTCAGCCTCCAAGTTGGAAATCCTGCGTCAAACCTCAAAAGTAGCACTTTGAGTTGAAAGGACAAGACTTCTAGAGGTATTAATTTTTGGAGCTTATCTCCTTCCTTCCTGGGTTTCTCAGCCCTTTGTGTTCACAGTTTCAAACTTTTGACTTCAGACCTCAGAGATTAAAACTGAAAAAAAAAAAAAAAAATCAAAGCTGAACCAATGTTGTTTTAACATGACTCCGGCAGAGGGTTCTTTAATCAATCGTAAAGATTTTCAGTCTGGCAATAAAATCCCGGGACCTAGCGACATCCACTCCATGTTTCAAAACTATTATCTCCTTTCTCTTTGAGACAGTTAACAAATAAAGATCTTTTGCAAAAGGCGTAAGAGACGCTCCAGTGAAGCAGTTTCTTCTCCTGGCATTAAGAGCAGGGTCTGGGTTATTATTAATTACTTTTGCATTATTTATGCAGGTCCATGAATGTGCAATGTCTTTTATGGATAAATCACCCTGCCTTGAAAAGTTTCCAGTCTGCGAGCCAAATCCTGCAGTGTAAATCTGTAACAGCAGGAGGCAATTTGGTGCAGCAGAACAGGTAAGTGTTAATCCTTGATGCTGCAGGACTGGTGCGTTATCGACATTATTATTTCATTTGTGTGGCAATTGCACCAAAAAGACTCAACCGATGCCGTTGTTTCATAACCTCTTGGATCTGGCATCAGTTGAAAGAAGCAGCCTCTATCCTCTTCCTCATTCCTGCTCCTTCTCTTGCCTCTTTTCTTGTGGTTTAGGCTTCCATATGGGGAGCCAAAGCAGGGAAATGATCCGGGTTAAGGCTCATCTGGCAAAAATAAGGAAAGGTTTAATTTTGACCGGTCCTAACTCAGATCCCTGGGTGCGAGGGTTTGCAGCTCTTCCTGCCCTGCCTGTTCCCCTGCGCTGCTCCGCTGAGCGAGCTGGCGGGTTACACCCCGAGAGGTTCCGCTGCGGGAGGCACCATCAGAACTCCCCACGGCCTTGGGGGGGTTGTGAAGGGGCCCCTTTCGCCCTCTGAGGGCTCCCAGCTTTACCCGTTCAGCCGGACCCCTTTCAGCTCCGGGCAGAAATGCCCCGACTCATCCCTTTGACCTCCCCGCTTCGTTTTCACGGGGTGTCTGTCAGCTCTGCGCCGCAGGCTGCACCCCGCAAGCCGCAGCTGTGGGTCCCCCGGGATGGACTGAGCAGCCCCAGCAGCTCAGGGACCTTTTGGAGGTGCAGCTCCAGCCTCGGATAACCCCGTGCAGCCCCGGGGACGCCCCGACCCCAGTCACACGCTGGTGTCAGGGCTGCTTCGCTTTCTCAGGCTACAGCCCTGCTCGGAGCAGGAGGCCCTGCCTCGGGCGCCGCAGTCCTTTTAAAGCTGCTTTGTGGGTTTCTTTTCTTTTCTCTTTTTTTTTTTTTTTTTTTTTTTTTTTTTTCTCCCCCCCCCAGGTTCCCAGGGCTGGGGATTCAGCTTCTGGCTTCATCCAGAAATCCCTGAGGGTTTCAGATCCCCACGAGGCCTCTCAATGTCTTGATCTGCTTGAATAGGCATTTTTAACACGGCCCCGGCTGTCATCGGGGCCTGTTACAGTCACTCAACTGCAGCAACATTGTTCTCAAGGCAGCAGTGCCCGGGACACCTCCCTTATTACCATACTGCACGGGGGATTTTGCCGCTGGATTTCTCTGCCGAGCATCACACCGGCTCCTCAGCCGGAGGTGGCCAATTAGCCCTCCTCGCCCACACCGCGGCCTCCATCCCTTCGTGGCTCTCTCAGCATCTCCGGCCCGCAGGGCTGCTGGCGCCTGTCCATCTCCGGAGGTGCTGTCGGAGGTGAAGGTGACCCCCTTTTCCTGTGCCAGGCTCCCTGGCAACGCGGCCTTTCTTTGCGAGCGGCCTCCTCCACCCCCTGACGAGGAGAGGGGCTGTGAAAGCCCCGCTGCACTTTTGAACTTGCTGCCGGCGCGTTCAGTGGCTGCGCGGGGCAGTGCCGACAGAGGGGCCGAGCCCAGCGGGGACCCGGTGCAATTGCCCAGAAGTTATTAATAGGCTGCGGAAGAATGTGATGGGCTGGGGAAGGGTGAGGCGGGGGGGGGGAGAGCGAGAGGGAGCGAAACGGGGAGGGTCAGCGAAAGGGAGATGGGGTGATGCGGGGAGAGGCAGGAGTGATGGCATGCGGGAGAGACAAAGAGGCAAACAGAGAGGAGGCCGTGGGCACCTGCATGGGCAGGTGAGGGCATACAAAAGCCGGAGCTCCGAGACCCCTTGTCCTGCACCTTGTGCAGGTGTCTCATCGCTGGCTGTGATGGCACAGAGGTGTCTGACGGCGGTGCCGGGGGATGGAGAGGGCAGGGGGACCAGGCCTGGGGGTTCAGTCCTTGCGCTCCGCCACATCCCTTTCTCAAGATAAAATATCGCTCAGGGTTCATGAGCCAAATTTGCCATCTAGTGGCTCTGGGGACCATTGCAGAGGGACCCACGAGGCAGCAGCGGCCACAGGAGGGTCATGGCACCGGAGCTGGGTGGCACCCTGCGCAGCACCCTCTGTCTCGGGGGTTAAGCCCAGAGTGCTTCTGCTTTCGCTTTACTCACAGGGGCCCAAAAAGCCAGTGGCCCCTGGGGTGACATTACCTTGTTCTGGCTGCCTTGCAGGGAGCCAACCTCAGCCACGCTGCCAGCCTCTGGGTGCTCTCCAGACAGCGCCGAGGACCCAGACCCACGACGTGATTCAACTCATCGCTGTAACGCAGCAAGGCTCGGAGGAGAGGAGCGTGTCCCGTGGCCACGAGAGCAACTTCTTCGCTGTTACGCTGCGGGGAGAACCTGGAAAGCATTGCTTTCTACCCTCGGCACAGCAGTGGTGTTTCTCTGAGGCTTTACACCTTCTCTTTATTCTTGCAAAGGTACCAATGAATTTATCTAACGTATTGGCTCCTTACCTCGCTCTGCCACCAGCCAGCCCTTTCAGCAAGCAGAGGAGTCTCCAAGTTACACACTGGAGACTGTCAGGGCTGGGGAGGAACAACCAAGGGCCACTGGGTGTTGAAGAAGGGGTAGAGTAGAGCCTGGGGTAGAGCCCCCCAGGACCTGGGCCAGCAGAGCCTCTTTTGGGCTGTCACCCAGGAGGATTTCTCTAAAAATCTAGCTTTTAGAGAAGCTTTGGCCACTCTGTCTGTGGGAGTGACTGGCAGGTAACGGTGCAGTCAGGGGAAAGAAAGGGGCTCAGTGCGAGTCCGTGTCCATAGCTTTAATGCACAGCTCTCCTGAGCAAGACCACATACATCAATAAATAAAAGTAATAATAATTAGAGCAGCCCCAACAAGCCCAGCTGTCACCAGTTTGGCTTCTGTGCTCTTGTCAGCAAGGGGTGCCACTGCTTGACTAATGCAGAAGACACAGAAGCAGCACCATCTCCTTCCCCTTCTCAGTGAGGATCTGCTGGAGGAGGAGACCTTCGCTTCCCTGGGCGCCAGTCTGGGCAGAGTCTTCCAGGGCACCTGTGGGCTCCCACCCTGCTTCATGCCCAGCACCACGAGGCCTCAGCTGCTCCCTGCCCAGCCACACCGCCCTTGTGCGAGGAACGGGCGCGCAGCCGAGGCCTTCCCCGTGCGGACACACACGTGTGCATCACGCACCCCATGCCCAAGGGATGCCTGAGGGAAACCAGCTCTAGCACTGTTTGTGGGGCTCCTCCAGGGCAACGTAGGGCACCACGACAGGCCAGGAGTCGCTGGGCCAATATTCCAGCTTTGGCTTGAAGGATGGCATCTCGTAGTGGACGTCGAAGTAGATGACCAGTGGGCAGCAGTAGAGGAGGGACATGGCTATCAGCACATGCCTGGCAAGGAAACCAAAAAGACATGCGTTGGGCAGGGGTAATTCCATCTGCTTCTGCACCTCGCAGGGGTGTGTGGCTGGTGGTGTCACCGTGAGGCTAGACCCAGGGGTATGGCATAGCAGGCAGAGGTCCTGGTCCCCTGATGCGTGAGGGCGGCCGGGAGCGTGGGCCCTGCAGGGTTTGTGCCTATGGGGAAATCCTAGAAGAGCTCTGTGAGCTGGGGCAATTCCTTGTGCAGCAGAGATGGGGTGATATAGGGGACTTAAACCCCAAATCAAACCACTCATTCCACCTTGCCTGGCCTAGCCCAGCACGCTGGGTATCTGTCCCGGTCATCCCAGTGATGTGTGAGGATGAATCTGAGAACACACGCTGTGTGCAGTGCTTACAGCCACGCTTGGCCCGGCACTGAGATGTCTTGCCCAAGCAAATCCCTGTCTTTCAGTTTGGCTGTTAAAATAACTCGAAGAACACCGCACCTCGTGCAGCTTCCCGGCAGCAGATGCAGCCCCTTTGAAAGCAGGCTGCTTACCTGGGGGGACTTTTAGAACAATTTGACTTGCAAAACGCTGTTTGGCTGGTGTGGCGGAGGTAAGGGATCTTAATCAGCGATTAGAACCAAATCCTTGGGCTGGGAGCAGGGTGAGGAGCAGCATCAATAGCGACAGGGGAAAAGGGGAGAGGGTTGGGCAGAGATGCAGCTGCTCCCTGGTGGTGTAGCGCATCCCTGCTGCCATTCCTCCTTAGCCGTGGCCCTTCAGCCCCTGAAATGTTTGGGGTGGGGTTCCTGCCTCCACGCCGGAGCCCTTACCAGAAGCTGTGGAAGTAGGGGAAGTTGATGGCCTGCCAGAGCCCACAGAGCCACCTGTCGCTTATCCAGCTGCTGATGGCCAGCACCCACCACAGGACCATGACTGCGGCCATCCGGTGAACCCTCTTGTCATTGCACCTGGAAGACACAGCGAGGGAGAGGAAGCGGAGTATCGTGTCGGAAGGAAAGTGGGTTTTAAAGAGGGCTGGTTCCTGTCTGCAAATGCTAATGCGACAGGGCAAAACCCAGCAGGTTTCTTCTGCAGAGCATTCATCAGACCGCAAGAACTGGAGAACTGTGGCTCTGTAGAGAAGGTTTCTGACTGTCTGTGGGTGAGGATGATGCTAAGAGATACCAAGACACTCCTGTCTTTCTCCCCAGATCCTGGTGGGTTCTGCCAACCCCACACTGGTTCCCAAATCCCTGCCAAAGGGGAAAAGAGCTGCAGAGACAGCAGCTGGGTAGGAGAAGATACACTTGTCCCATGGATTGTCCCCATTCTGCGTGGCACCTGGGCCATCTGGCCTTCTTGCACCCACAGTCCTGCCCGTGCCTCTTCCTCCTCCCTCCCAGGCTGCCCCAATTCTTCGCAGAGCTGATAGTCCAACACGTGGCTGATGAAGACTTGGGCTCGATTCGCTGTTGTGCACAGAGTCACCTCCACATGCGAGCCTGCCAGGAGCATGTAATAGACCTGCAGATAAACCCTTGAGCCCCCTCCTTACTTTTTCAGCTCGCGCCATGTCAGGTACAGCAGGTGGAAGGCGATGCAGTTGAGCACGTAGGCATTGAAGGCCGGTTTGATGAAGGACATCAAGGTACTGATGACGGTGGTGACACCACTCAGCCAGAAGAATTGCTTCCTAAAAGGAGTTGGGGAGTGAGTATCAGTCCCCCTGGAGTTCAGGGGATGGAAGAATAAGGATGGGAGAGGTCCTGCTCATTGCCTGAGAGAGGAAACCCTTGTCCAGCACCTCCAGTCTGCCCAGGGCTGACCTCAGCCTCTGCAGCAGTCCTGGCAGGAAGGCTGAGATATCTGTTTATACCTGTGTTTTGCCCCAAGCTCCCCTGTTAGGCCGTGACTGAGCGGGGAACACGGCCCAGAAGGTAACTTGTGCACTGTCGTGGTGATGCCGGAGAGGGACATCGAGCGGCCAAGGCGTCCAGAGCTTTTCGCAGGGAAGGGCTGCACAGAGTGCCCAGCAGTGGCGGGCAGGGGCTTGAGCCGAGCAAACATGCAGATTTGGTCTGACTGAACAACAATAGGGCTCAGAGGAGCCTTTCACATGCAAATCCCTTGCCAAGTCCCTTCCCCTCTTCCCCCGACCATGTCTCCACAGTGAACTCCTGGTGACCTCCTCTTTGGCATGGGAAGAGCAGACTTGGAGCAGGCCTTTGCAAGACTGCGAACGGGGCTGGCTCAGAGGGCTCCACAAGCCAGGATGCGACCATCCTTTGAGCGAAGCCCTGCTGGGTTCCTGTTCCTGCTGACCCATGCTCACCCAGCATCCCCATCCTTTCAGCTGAGCTCCTCTAGCCCAGCCAACTCTCCTGCAAGCAACCTCGGACTTGTGGGCTGTTAACTTGGACCGGTTTGTCCTATGGGAAACCCCATCAGCCTTCAGGGAAAGCTCTCTGTGGATGGCAGGGGATGCTGTAACAGTCTGACAGCGTGGGTAATTGAATGTCAGCGCTCAGCAACATTTAATTTCCTAATTAATTTTGAAATTCTCCATGCAAAGATTCCTCTGCAGCTTTGCAAAGGCAAAGAGCTCCAGTCAACAGGAGCCCAGCACAGCCCTTCCCTGACTCTCCCTCTGTCAGCGCGTCCATCACTGAGTGATGGAGGGTCCGGTCCCAAAGCAAACTGCAGCCACCTCAATGCTGACCCCTTGCAGGGGAGCTGGCTGGGGGTCACACATATCAGTGTCAGTGTCCCATCCCTCCCCTCAGAGCCTGCAAACCCTCTGAGTCGTACCTGCTCTTGATGCACCTGGGGAAGTAAATCCTTGGGTACCAAAAGGAATATGCCACAGCCAGCGTCCAGAGGATGGAGAGCTCGTCCAAGAGTTGTCCCACGTAGCTCAGGGTCATGTGAAAGTACGTGGAGAAGACACCTGCAAGGAGCAAGGACAGCCTGTGTCACCAAAGCTTTGTCCTTGCACAAAGTCTGTCTGGCCTGGGAAGGTCTTGGGGGCCATTTCTAAAGACACACAGTTCCTGAAGAGCAGAGCATGGACCTCGGTGTTAACGGAGGCCTGAGGGAGTCAGTGCACGCAGCGCCGCGGGGGTTACTGGGCTGGAAGCTGTGCACCCAGAGCCAGCAGGGACCACGAGCCGCAGGGCTTCAGAGAGACGCGGCTGTTCGCTTTCCCACTCCAGCTTGTGTTTTGGCCACTAAGAACCAACCTCCAAACGTATCACGAGTGAACAGTCAGGTGCTCTGGCAATCTGTCTGGTCTTTTCACAACCTTGGCACCCACCTACGCAGAGGAGCAGGCCAGAGACGATGTACATGGGCAAGGCACGCTGCTGACGGTACTGCCGGTTCAGGTAGAGCAGGGCCGGAGAAAGGGCAAAGAAGCTCACATTGCTGATCTGAAACACAAGAGGCACATTCATCTCCTTGCAATGATCTTGGGCAAATCCCATCCCACCACGTGCCTCGGTATCTCTGTGTGTGAAGAGGATACTGATCTCTAGTGGAAAGCATTGTGTGGAAGCAGGTATTACTCTTGGCACAGGGAGAAGGCAGAGGCGTTTCTCGAGAAGTGAGGCTGGAACTGGAAGGACAGCTATTGCTGTGACAGCAGCGCCTGCAGACCTCTGGGCTCTCTCTGCAGGTGCTTCTGGGCCAGCAAGCCCAGGGTGCACTGGTGTGGCCCTTCTGGGTGATGGTTTAGCTTCAGCTGCCCGGTGTCTTCAAGCAAGCTGCCAAAGCTCTTCTGTTTGCAGCCACCTCCCTCTTCTGTCATCCCAGAGCTGCCAGAAACTCCCTGGGTGGCTTCTGCCCCTTTTGGCCAGCAGCCACCCCGCTGCGAGGGGCTGAGGTGGCTGTGAGGAGCTAGACCACCGCAGCAAGCCACAGTCAGGAAAACCCCTGTTCACTGGGAGCGAGGGCGCAGTGGAGAGTAGCAGGATAAGCAGGATATTGGTAAGTGGGAACAGGCAGGATTGAGGTGACATCCTGTCGTGTCATGTGTAAAACCACCTGGCCGGGGGGGGGAGGTATTCTGGACACTAGTAATTACATGAAGTCATAAACCTCCTTTCAGCACACCTAGCAAATGAATGCAGTGAAATGACTCTGCCCTGATTTCCAGCTCCGCAAAATCGCTGCATCGACAGACTTTGATTTGTCTGGGGAGGAGGGGACGGTACTGGGGCTCAGCCCGTGGGTGCTGCCTGGGCTGGTTGAAGCCGCCGGTGCTTCAGGGAACGGCAGGTGCCGATGGGCAAAATGTAGGAGCTGGGGAGGAGCAGCAAGTGCCCAAAGCCTGGCCCTGTCTGCTGGATCAGGCCCGCTCCGCCCTGCAGCTACAGGGGAAGGAGGTTTGAAATAATCCCTGCCCTCTGCAGGTTCTTACCCTGGCTTTTCCACCTGATTTTGTGAACTCAGTAAAAGGGATATCACAGGGAAGTACAGCCTCCGCAGGGAAAATCCTTCTTGCTTATGAAAGGTTGGGACTGTGGTGCCACGTTCTACCTGCCAGACAGCTCTCCGGGGTGTTAGAAGAGCAGGGCAGAGCCATCTGTTAAAATACCATTTGGCACCACACCAGGGGGACTTTTATCTCACCCTGACAATCCTTTTCCTTTCATCTTCCAGCTAGGTGTTGACCCAGACCCCAGGCCTGGAATCTGACCTCCACAGCTGGAGTCTCACCCCTCGGCAGCCCTTACATGCACCAGGTAAACTGCAAAATCGACGCTCGGCTTGTGATGCCCCGTGGGATCTGAGTTTATGGTAACAGGGCTGCAAATCACAGGGATGTTGTCATATATGTGAAACACACCCTCTCGTATTCCAGAGGGAAACATAATTCACACTTAATGGAAGGTCTCTATTCCCTTTAACACCTGGAGATTAATCTTGAATTTCACCAAGGCTTTCATAAAGCAAGTTGATGCTCCCATTAACAACAATTCTCGGGCCAAGTGGAGTGGTTTTCTATAGGTGCCTAGAGCCAAATCGAGGCGTGTTCCCGTTCCAGCTATGAAAAGAGAAGTGCTGGTCCCACTTGCACACTGAGGTCAAACTGTTCGGAAATGATCGAGAAACCAAACGGCGTGTTAAAGTAACAACTGGTGAAATGGTTAAAGAGGCTTTTGGAAGACAAGCAGGGATAGCAAGAGGAGAGGAAATGCTCGCAGAAGAGGCAGCTGTACGCAAGTGCCAGCATGCGCATCCAAGCGAGGAAACGCGGGAGTCTGAGACTGGGCGTAGAGAGGTCTGAACCCCTGCTGCAGCGGGCATTGCAACAGTGCCATTAATTACATAACAGCAATGTTATCACTTCATTAATTCAGTGGGAGACGTGCAAGATCAGATAATCAGAGGGGAGGGATTACCAGGGGAACCGTGCCAATAGGGTTGAAAAGAGGGAGTGATTCCTCGCAGAGCAGCCAAACTCCGAGCTTAGGGGAGAGCCACCACAAAACTGCATCCGTGGGGACGTGGGGTCTTCATCGCTCACTGGATCCGAGCCCTGATTTCTAAGTGCTCTCTTATATCTTCCCTCTAGGATGTGGCAAGCTCCCAGTGCTCCCATTAGGAAGTTTCTCCAGAGTCTCTGCTCACACTGAGCCCCCCCCCAGCATGGCTTCCGCTTCTACCTGCCTGGGCCATACTGGGCAGGAGGCACCAGCTCCCTCTGCCCAGGATGGCAGGGAGATAAGAGAGTGGTGATGGAGCCGAGGTGTGATTTGACCTGTGAGTGTGACTCAGCCCTGTGGTTTTCCATTGTGTGAGCTCACGGCGATGTCCCACTTCCTAACAAGTGTGAGTTATTGCTCCAGGTGCCTAAGCCGAGCCCGCCTGTACTGGCATTTGCTTCTTTCACTAGGAGAAAAGCAAACCTGGGATCAGCAACATGGCTCTAATCCCGGTGCATTAGCAGGATCATGGGAAAGGCCTCAGGCAGGGCTTCTGCAACTCAGCACTTTGCAGCCTGAGATGGAGGGAGAGACCTGCAGAGAACCTGTTTGCATCTCCGTCCGTGACAGAGCGAGAAGAAGCCTCTGAGACGGATGGGGACGGGAGATGCTGGATTGCAGAGCTCTGCCTGGCTCTGCGAGCACAGCAACGCTGGTCCTTACTCAAGGCAGGCATTTTCCCCAGTGAAAGGAGACTTCTGCAAGAGTCATTGGAGCGCTTTCATTCACTCAAAGGCCAGCAAAACAGCTTTAGCTGACAGAAGAGCCCACAGGGTGACAGCAGTGAATACCTCCCAGGATCTCCAGACCTGCAGAGCAAGTTCCTAATAGCCCGACTTGTGTAGCAGAAGATGAGGCTGCGTGTCCTGACATCCCAATGTCATGCCAGTGCTTTGGGGCAGGAAACAGCTGTTTGTTGAGCGTTTGCAGAGCGCGGGGCAGGGAGCTGCCGTACTCGTGCAGGCGACATTCTGGGCAGACAGGAGAGCGATGCCTCTGCCATGCCGCGGGGTTACTGAGCCCCTGTGAAAGGCCGGGGCACACGCCACGGCTCTGACACGCTCTGAAAGCGAGCGCTTCTCTGGGCGTATCTTAGGTAATTTGCACCTGCAGTTGAGCTTATCTCCACCAATCGATGAAACATCGGGGAGCTCTGGATATACGGTTGTGTCAGGGCTCCTGCTGCTTTGCAGGAGAGACCGCTGAGGATTTGGGTGTCATTACCAGCATCCTGGATCAATCATTTCAGGAAAGAAATAAGGGTAGAAAGACAAGTCCCTGACTGATGACCCTCGTGTAGCACAATACAGTTCTCCTACGAACAGCCAGAAGACAATAAATTTCTGGGTCACTGAGTCACTATAAATAGTGCTTTGTGGCTGAACTGCCTCCAATCATGAGCCACCGTGTACTATTAGGTACTTAAAGATACTGTTTACGTTCTTTTCTCATACCCTTGGTGCTTATTTCTAATAAAAAGCATCCAACCCAAGCAGACTTGAGAGAGTGTGTGGCTGGCACAGAGGAATTCTCAGCAGCACATTGCTGCTGCTGGCACAAAACTACCCTGCTTGAGCCCCAGGCAGTGTTGGGAAGAAGACAGTGAAAAGGATGCTCCACTAGGAGCTGATTTAGTGCGGGAGGCTTGGGTGGGAGCTGGCTGGATTCCCAGCTACTCTACAACTCTGGCAAAGTGACACTGAAGTCAATATTGATATAATTATCTCAGGGCAGGCCGGTGAGATAAGGCCCATAAACCTTGCCACAGGGAGGAAGCAATCCGAATATGGGGAACAAATGAATGGAGAAGAGGAGATCCAGGCTGTTAGGATCTCACCTGAGACAGTGCCAGAGCAGCTGGTTGTGGAACATGCTGCCAGGCAGCAGGGATAGCTAGGGATGTATCTCAGTCTGCTCTGATTTCTGCAGTCCCCCCTTTTGGGCACATCACAAGGAGGCTGATCCTGTGGGAGAGCCCAGAGCATGAAGAGGGCTCCCCTGGTGCTGCTGCAAGGGGTGAGGGCCAGGCAGTGCCAGCCAGGGGTGCAGGCTGATGAAGAGGTGATGCCCACGTCAGTGATGCTCTTGCCTGCTTTTGATCACAAGGTCTGGCCCTGAGCGCAGTGCAGCCTTTGGGGCTGTTGTCAGATGCTCAGACAACAGCAGTTTTTAAGAGGCTTTGCTCTTTTGTCTCCCCGTGTTTGGACAGGAGGTTGCCTGCCAGCCCTGATGCAGGCAGCTGTCAAGGCAGGTTTAGACCTCTGCTGCTTTCTCTAGACAGGAATCACACCTGAAGACAGAATCTGCGGAGGTGGTACCCTCTGCCTGCACAGACACTCTGCTGAGTTCTGTGGGCTGGTAAAAGCGAGCCTGGCGAGAAGGAGGCGATCAGTGCAGGGACCAGCAAATGCTCTTCCTCTGCTGGGCAAGACTTGCCTTGTGTTGACACAGAGAGATGAACAAGGGCTAGTTTAATCAATGGAAAAAATCCTGCAGGGTTAGCTCTGCCCACATCTCTCTCTCTTCCTTGGTATCACACTAGTTTGCATCTGTGTGGAAACACGCATTGGAGAAGTTCTCATCTCCTGGAAGCAAGCTGTGTCTGAGCCCTACTCAGCGAAAATTCATCCCAACCAAGCCCAGTGCCCTGAAGGTGGTGTAGTATGGAAACGTGGGAGATGGCTGTGGCTAGTAGGGACCTCAGTCCAGAACAAGGCATCTGGGGAAGGTTTGCAGGAATAGCTACAAAACTTAAAAAGCTGTGCCACAAAACAACCGAGGCAGCTAAGAGTTAATGTTTTAGGGGAATTCGAGGGCCTAAGATAGTTATGCATCCAGCCATGCCAACTGAGGTGAGGAAAAATTTATCTCCCAGAATGAATTCTGGTTAAAACCATAACTTTCAGACTTTCTGCTCTTTGTGGAAATCCAGCCCCTCTCCAACGTTGCCAGTGACACTCCAGAACAGAGAGGCCTTTGGTACCTCCAGCTACGTTCGAAATGCTGATATAAGTGTTTTTTGTACCTCCCCGCCAGCTCTGCCTCACTCTGCAGCTCTGAGCCCATCCGACGGGGATGCGGTGCCGGTAAACAGGCAACAGCACAGCACATTCAGGTGGTTACCAGAGGGAAGCAGGATTCGGTCTGGACTGGTGGATCTTTATTTGTTAATTGTCTCAAAGAGAAGCGACTATATATAGCCTGAGCATCCGTCCTTTGAGACCCTGGCTGGGTAATTAGAGCTGGGGAGCCGCGGGACTCGGGTGAGGGAATTATCGTTATTATAGGCAATTTATTAAAAGCAGGAAATGCTTCAGAAAAAGAGGAAGAGGCATTTCCATGAGAACAAGAACTTCTAGTGTTAGACAGTAATTGCTAAAAGTTGTAAACAAGGCCCTTGGAAGGTTGTAAATCCACATGCCTCACATCCCTGCTGGCCTGTAATTGCGCTGAGGTAGAAGGACGTGCTGGCAGAGGATGGTTTGCTACGGAGTCCTCTGCAGAGGATTCTATAGCTGCTTCCAGCCACGCTTAAGCCAGGAGGCAGCATTCAAGGAACCAGCGCTGGATGGAACCTGCGTTTTCTAAAGGATCATAGGAAGGGAAACCGGCTCATGCATCAGCTTTCCTCTGCCTTGTGTTCTGGATTCCCAGCCTGCCCAGTATGGTTCATGCAAGTGCTGTCTCTCATTTTGCCACTCCTGTACATTTAGCTGGAATACATGAGCCCTGTGTGGGACTTACCCCAGTTGGCAGAAGAGCTGCAGGACTGGTATAACAGGATCTCACAAATCTGGGCTAAGGAGCACTGCCGGAGTTTTCTCACTGGGAACTCAGCCCCACACGTGCCAGAAGTACCCCTGACCCCAGCTCAGTTTTGTGGAGCAACTGGCTACTGTAAGCAATGAAAGTCCCATGATTTACCCAAAGCTCAGGCAATGTTCCCCGTACCAGCACCCTCCAACACCAGGAAGTTTAAAGGAGTGAGCAGGAGGAGAGAAAACAAGGTTTTCCCATCTCATCTGCCACAAGCAGCTCCTGGAGCCAGCCCGGCCCTCGATGCGCCCGCACTCACAGTGTTGTAGTACTCTGCGATGACCGTCGAGCGCTCAAAGTTGCCTTCACACCAGTCGACTTCGGCGCTCTGGTAGGAAAATATGCTCGGCATTGCTGGGCCACCTTTGCAAAAAGGGAGAGGAGCGGGTTAGTTTTGCAGGCGGGGAGGGAGCGTGCTGTACAGACGGAGGGAAAAGGGAGAAGAGCACTCGGTCTGCCAGCCCGCTCGAGCACAGCATCCTTACCCTGCTACAAAAGACTCATCCTCTTCCCGGCACACATCATATTGCAGAATATTTCCTCTTCTCTCCCCATGATGCAGGAGTGACAAATCACCCTAGGAAATGTTCTGGAACTCTGAGCCTGGGAATGGTCGCCACAGACCGCCCCCCCCTGACATTAACATCTCTCGTCAGGAGTCCACGCTGCCACACGATGCTTCCCAGTTTCAGCCCTGTCCTGTCACCCTGTCTTCTCCCTTCTCTTCACTTTCTTTATGACTCAGGGCTTTCTGCCAAGAGGACTTCCCTGTACTCCGTGGGATGTGACCTACCTTTTGGGAGTGGACAACTCTACAGGGTTTATTGCTCATTTGCTCTGTTCTCCTTAGTCGTTTCTCAGCATCTTCCTGAGGGCTGGAGCTCGCCTTGTGCAAGTTCAGCCCTGGAGCACCAGCACAGACCCTGGGTATTACTGGAGTCCTGGGAGCGCAGAGCAAAGGCGCTGGGAGGTGTCTCTTTGCTGGCAGTGATTTCACTTTGAATGCGCTCCCATCCAAACCCATCCTGGCATCCCAGCAAAAGGCGTCAAAGCTTCACACCTCGAGTGGGCTTTCCACTGCCACGTCCCTCAGCCTGACCTCTGGCAGTTGCAAAAGCTTCTGTTACAAGTGGGATTCTAAAAAAAAAATAAAAATATCTAACCTTTTTCCCGTTTTTCTTCCTCGTGCTAAAGACTTTCCTATCCTCAGTGTGAACATCATTTCTCAGCCCTCCTTTATTCATTTGAAAAAGTAGAAGTTCTGATCAAGTTTCCTATTTGGCATGTTTTGTTTCAAATCTTTGAGACTTTGAAGCTGTTTAAGAAGCTGATAGATGGCTGTCAACCCTAGAGGTGTTTGGAAGCACCATCCAAACCCTAGCAGCTGGGTATTTGATACGCAAGAGCCACAAGAAATTCCCTGGAGCTGAGCAGTTCAGTCCCTGGATGCAGTGTTGAATGAACCCGTCCGGCTGTGCTTGTCTAGCTCTGCAGAATGAGCAGGTACCGGGGTGACACCGAGCACTTCAGTAGCATCTCTGCGCTCCCAAGGCACTGGTGGAAAACAGAGCTTTCTTTTCTTTGAAAAACTTTTCAGCTTTGGGTCTAGCGCGGGGAAGGGAAGTTTATCTGCAAACCACTCATCGGTTGATCATGTTCTTGTGGAGAAACAGTCAAGTCCCCGTTGACACCGGTGTCAGCTGAGCAACACCGCCGAGTTCAACAGTTACTGGAGGTGTGCAGGGGTGTGAAGCTACCACAGCTTCCTCTGCTTCTCTTCCCAAGAAGAAGTTCAAAGGGAGAAAACACGGGAGTGTAACACTAACACAAACAAGCTCTTCTGTAACCTCCTGCTCCAACCAGACCAACTGACTTGTGGATAAACCTCCACCATTCTTTTACGATTGCGAGTTAACGGTGCCCTCTCTTTAACCCAGGCTGACTGCATCCTCGGAGCAGGTGAGATCACAGCTACAGAAGAAAAAATAAAATAGATGGCAGGCAGATTGGTTTGAGGTCTGCCGCTTCGTGATCTTGGCTTTCCATGTGCTCATTCACACCACAGTGACTCTCTCCTGATCCCTGGTGCTCTGCATTACGCTTTTACAGCAACGCGAGGGGTTGCATATGGTAGAAAAAGAATCAGACCCAAGCTGGTAAATCCTTTCTCCTAGCTGAACAGATGTCAGTTGAGAGACGGTGAAGGGATGGAGGCACAAGACAGAAGAAGAAGGGAAGAGAAGAATCGAAGCAGCAACCAGAGTGCCCAATGTGCTGGCTTGCTGCTCGCCCAGCCTGGCTTACCTGTGTTCCCTTGGGACAGACCAGCACTGCTTCCACGCGGTAAGGCGAAGGGTCGGGAGCTCCGAGGTTTCTAGCAAAGCTGGAGCAGTAACCTGCCCTGCCGCTCTAGCTCTGAAGGAGCGCCCACGGTGTGAGCTCACCGGGAGCAGCCGCCAGGAAATACCCTTGCTCCGTCTCTAGGGAAAGCGTTGGGATGAGACAAGAGCCATGCGCACCCTCCAGGCAACCCTTCCAGTCCCCCAAAGGAAACATATTGGCTGGAGGGTTTATATCTCTGCACCCAAATGGGCAGGGGCAGAGAGGGAGGGCAGAGAAGCATGAGCTGGAAGGATTGGAAAAGCGGGTAGAAATGCAGTCTGAAATCATCAGCGTGCCCCTAGGCAGGTTACCTGCGCACGCGCGCACACCCCAGTCCTAACCCTGTTTTTCCCAGGGGAGGGACTGATCCATACAGCCTCCCTTACAGAGCTGCTCAAAGACCCAAAAAACCAGTTTCCACCAAAAAACACGTAGGAAGCTGCTGCTGCTGCCTCGTTTTTGAGCCACTTTTCAACTTTTCCCCAACTGCTGGTTTATCATCAAAAAGAATTTTATTATAAAAATACATCACACTTCTTCTAGTTAGTTAATTTTGTTATTTAGTTAAAGAATTGGCTAAATAGGACAGTTCTGGGGTGACTGCTTTGCAAGCATTTTCCTCCTGAACCCCATTCAGGATGTCAAGAAAATTGGCAGCAATGAAACTTTTCCCAAAAAGCAACATTTTTTCTTCCATGTAGGGTTGGGAAAAGAACAAACACGTTGCTTTCTTAAACATAAAAACTTACTGTTTGGTCAGCTCTTCCTGTTGGGGCAGAGGAGACACCATGTTCGGCACCACAGGGCAGGCTCAGACCAAAATCCAGGGTGTCCCTGTCCCTGTTCCATGTGCTCCCTGAAGAGCAGGGATCAGACAGCAGCTTCTGCCGTGACACCTCAGCTTTGTCCTGGGGACTGGCTCTTTGGGAAGCTTTGCCATTTTTTTGGTCAATTCTATGAAAAGAAGTGGACCTGGGAGAGCTGAGCTGTGCAACACCTCCTGAAGATGCCTCACAAATCCACGTGCATTTTGAAACAAGAGGGTAATTAACCGCTGAAGCAGTTTATACTACAACATGGTGGAGCCTCCACTACACGCAGCTCAGTCCAGTCTGGGTGTCTTTCTAGGACAGGCAGTGCAGCTTGGGGCAGAAGATAAGAGGTGATCCCCGGTGAGCTGCTCTCACCCCCGTGGCTGACTGCACTGCGGCATACACGTTGAGGAATTCTGGGGTGAATTTGCTTCTTATTCGCTTACAACTCCTGAATGGACTGGGCGAGGAGGAGACTGAGGTCTCATGTCAAAAGAAGGGGCCCGGTTCCCCAGGGGGTCTTGGTGAGAAGCAAGTGGTGACGGCCATCCCACCGCGAGGGGAGGCAGGTGAGGTGCGGTGTTAGCCGGGGAAGGGGGCAGAGGTGGGTTTGAAACTAAGACAGATCATTGCCCAGACATGAGATGCCTGGCCTGTATGAACATCTTTGAAAAGAATGAGCTTTTTCACCCCAAAACCTCTGGCATCCTTGGCATGAGCAAAGCACTCAAGCGTCACTGATACATCCTGTGCCATAAATAAACGGCGAATAAATTACTAGGGAGGATGTCACGAATCTGCATCTTCCCTGATTCATCGATAAGTAGCGTTCGGGTCATAAAGAGAGGCTGATTTCCTGGTGAGTCCTCCTGCCCAGCTCCTCCTAATGGTTACATCCTCCTGCCTGTGGTCAGAAGGGCCTGGGATGCTGAGGATGTTGACGTGGGAGTGGGCCAGGGAGATGGAGGTGCCCAGTGGTGAAGCTTTCTGGGCCTCACGTGAGAGTTACACAGAGAGATTCCCCTAATCCTCCCTGCATCCGAGAGTTCTTTCTCTCAAAGCTTTACCCAAAGCCCTCACCTCCTTGCTAAGACTTGCTGCCTCCTCTCCACCTTTCTTCTAACAGGTGACATCTCAGCTTGCTCAGATATGTCTCTTCTGCACCAGGATCTGCCCGGAAACCTCATGAATGAGTTTTGTTCCTCATCCTGTCCCCTTAGCTCTTCTATTCTGGCTCCCTGGGACTGAAGTCGTCTTATGAGACCCCACATCCCAGGCAACGTCGCAGGCCTTGTGATGTGGGACAGGCTTTAACCTGGAGAGCTTCCTCCCAGCTCCTCCACCTCTCTGTCACCCCTTGGGCAGGCAGCGGGGTCCGAGGGTGTTGCAGTGGAAGGGGCAGGGGCTTTCACAGGAGCCGAGCCTGCAGCCTCGAGTCTTCTGCAAGCCTTTTCTAGCTGTTTACTCACAGGCTGTGGTGAGGAAGCAGTTCTGCTGCTGCTACCACCAAAACAGGGAAGTGGGGACTCTGGCATGCAAGTCTGGGGGAATCCAGTTGCTTAACTTGAGGCTGGTCCTGCCTGCCTTGTGCACCTTGGATGGACACTTCTACCTGAGCTGCTGCTGACGAGGGATTTTTTTTTAAAAGCCCCTTTGGAGAAGCTGCGGCTCAGAGACACGTGTCTTTTATTGCCTTGGCTGGTGCGGAGCTGTGGCTGTGGGCAGAGGGGCAGTAACAAGCAGCCGGGGCAGGGACGATGAGGTGGGAGTGCTGGCATCCCACATCCCTGCTGCTGTTTGCTCAGCAAGCGTGAGTCAGAGCCCTGGGGTGGAAGGAGACAAAATGACTTTGCTCCCTTCTCACAGCGAGGCGGTGGGTGAGTCGGGAAGGGAACCCAGGCATTCTGGCTCACCAGTGCCCTTCTGCATCGCTCTGCCTGTGTCCAGGAAGGCCCTGAAGCAGCCTGGGCAGGCTCCATCCTGCTACTTTTGGTACATGACTTTAGCTCCAAGGCTGCAATTTTGTGCTTCCAGGTATAAAAACACAGGCAGGTGATCTGGGAGCCTTGCTAATGCCGAACAGTTAGATAATCCCCATCATTCATGGCTCCACAGGGCAGGAATCATGTCCTCTGCTTGGTTTGGAAGCTGTTTAGCA